CACCTTAGTTACATGGTCTAGAAAGATTCAGGAGTTCTGCTGATATACCATGTTTTGAAGAAAGGGATACTCTTTCCTCTTAAAATACCAAAGACTATTTACATGAGAGAAGAGTGACTAAGATTTTTAAAAATAGGAATTGAAAGGAGAGTTGCTAAATCCATATATATATAGCCAGCTATATGAGGTGACCTGATTTACAAATATGCCAAGCATCTTCTGTGTTTCTGTCATCAAATACCATTTGGGTTTCAAGGGTGTCTAGCCCTTGTTTCATACTTGAAAATGAGGCCACTAATTTTAGAGCCCAATAGGATTCAAATAACCTAACACTCAGATCCTGTTTCCAAAATGTCAGTTTCTTGCTGAGAAGTTCTTTGGTCCCAGTTACTTGCTAGCTTTGCTGAGCAAAATTGCTATAAACACAGCCAAATTAGGTAAGACCAGAAGTCCATTGTCTATCCCATTATTCTGTTTTCAGCAGTAATAGGTGTTTCAGGAAAAACTAAGAGCATGGTACAAACAAAAGAGATGCTTTTCTCATTATACCCATCTAGCTCTCAGCAACATGTAACATGACTATTCAAGTTATTGACACATTCTGCATGGCTAAGAATTTTAAATTGTGCTAGCATTTACTATAGTACAGTTAACGCACATAAATTTAAACCAAACAAAAAACCCAGTAATCTTATTTAAATTGTGTGTGACAGAAACAAAAGCCTTTGAAGACCATTGTTTCAAAAAAAGTACTTCAACTCAACACAAACAAAGGCTTACAACCCCTGGGGGAGTAAAATAAATATCAGCACATTTGCTGTGAAGAAGTAGGAAGAGGTAAGCTGTTCCTAAAACCATAGAAATACAAGGGCTCGGTGTGACTGTGAAAGGCCCTCAACAGTTATCAAAGAAAAAAATTATTTCCATGGGGGAAACAAACAAAAAAAAAAGGGAAGAGAAGAGAAGAGAAAGAGAAGAAGAGGAGAGAAAGAGAAGAAGAGAAGAGAAAGAGAAGAGAATGAGAAAGAGAAGAGAAGAGAAGAGAAGAGAAGAGAAGAGAAGAGAAGAGAAGAGAAGAGAAGAGAAAAGAGAAGAGAAGAGAGAAGAGAAAAGAGAAGAGAAGAGAAGAGAGGAGAGAAGAGAAGAGAGAAGAGAAGAGAAGAGAAGAGAAGAGAAGAGAAGAGAAGAGAAGAGAAGAGAAGAGAAGAGAAGAGAAGAGAAGAGAAGAGAAGAGAGAAGAGAGAAGAGAGAAAAGAGAAAAGAGAAAAGAGAAAAGAGAAAAGAGAAAAGAGAAAAGAGAAAAGAGAAAAGAGAAAAGAGAAAAGGACTTAAGCGATTAAACACTGCAAGGGAAGTCAAGGTCTCAAGCACATGCTCAGGTGGTATAAAAAGAGTTCCCCATACTTGAAAGAATGTTCTTCCTCAGGGAATGAAAAAGAACAAGGAATTCAGACTCCCTTCGCATTTGCCAAAAAGAAAGGAAATTAAGTTGTAGTGGGAAGATATTTTTAAACACTGTGTTTTCAAATGTGATCAACAAAACCAGACTAGAGAATGAACTGATTTGAAGAGTGCGAAGAACCTAGGAACGCACAGACCCTATTTTGTTATTTGAAGTCTTCCAGCCGGCTTTGTTCATATGAGTAACTAGCGGCTCAAAATGAGAGTGCTTGCAACGGTCAAGTAACTGCTACTTAAATGCCAGCAGAGTTAACAACTCCTCAGGGAGTAGCATGCCATCATCAAGAGCAGCAGAACATGGTGCTACTTTTAATCTCCTGCTTTTAACCTCTTAGCTCTCCAAGTACATGAACAATGTCTACCTTTAAGTGTAGCACAAGGTCAGGGATCTCTATACCTAGAGTCTTTACTGACACACTTCCCTACTCTTTTTCCTCCAATGCACTCCCCTCTGCTATTGACAGAGCTTTAAATTAGAAAATTAAGTGCTCTTAGGGGTTCCTGGAACTCTCAAAATTCTACAGAAAGCACTGAATTTCTGGCTTTTAAGCTATTTAAATTTGGTTCACAATGCTTTATTCATTTAATTTAGGTACAGTTTAACATAATACTCCCAACAAAGCCATGTAGGCCACATTCTTCTTTTACTAGCATAAATTTGGGAGAAACTACACTGAATCACTTAACTAAAACATTGTAAAGCCAAGAGTGAGTGCAAAATTAAATCCTCCAGCTTCAAAGATCTGCAGGGGGAAGCAAAAGGGGATGACTGCAATGATTATATACAGTCAAGATCCTGTTCCCATACAGAAGTCCGTAACAAATTAAAAATCACATGAAGACATGTACAGAAAATACAAGTTAAATTAATATGCTTTCAACTAGAATTTTTCTTACAAAGGATCTGTCAAGAGAAATGCAACTGACACACACTAGTGGCTACTGGAATGAACAACTTAAAAGTCCTAATTAGGTCAATCTAGGCAAGAACTCCAGTCATTTCATAGCAGTTTAAAATGTTGGGGAAACATTCCCCTTGAGCAAAAGGAAGTATTTTGGGATACAAAAAAAAACACAGTAAGTATTGGCAAATGAGGAACAGACAAAGAAAAGTGCCAAATGCTGTAAAGCCCCGATACTTTATATAATGACTAAAATTTATGACTGCTTCCTTCCCTGGCAGACAGGAGTACAATTAGAATTCTCAAAACAGCAGCTCCTTTGTGCTGGCATGCTGTGTTATGTTTATACTGCTACAGATAGACTAGAAGATAAAAAAAATAAGTACTACAGCACCTCTTTCAACCCAAGATAATAGCTAACTTTATTTTTTAATGTGGGTTTGGACATGGGTTTGCGCATAGCTTATTCTTAACTGAAGTAATTTAGGTAATCATCATTGCATGCACAGGAATTAACCATTTAAGTAGCTTGTTATATACACAGAAGTATCTATTTGAAAAATCACACGGAACAAGAACAAACGAGCTATTATGAGTCACTTAATTTCCTTTGCTGTCCAAATACAGCTTGACATTTAAACAGATTAAATTATTCCTTTATTTCAATTTTGAAAAATTTGAATGTGCTTCACTTGATGAACTGTTGAATGAAAAGCATTAGGAAGTATGCATGTTCTTTCTTTCAACCTTTACCTATATTCAATAATATGGATCAATTGGAACTGACAGTGGTTAGAAGAAGCATAGGGAATTAAAAGGATAGATTTTTCTCATCTCCTTCACACAGAAAGCACAATTACAATATTCTGAATAAGCAATCTGGACTTGGACAACCACAGATAATTTTGCAACATAATACCCCGCAGGCATCTTTTCCCTATAAATTCTGGGACATGTACATCCAGGGGAAGCTCTGACAACTTCCCAAGCAGCAGTAGCTTCTCAACAACTGAAACCTGAAGATTTCTCCTACTGCGCTGTCATTTGGCCTAGACATCTCTCTCCGCTTTTTTTTTTTCTAGTGTCCTCCCTCTATGGTTGCACTGATCACTCCTCTTATTACTCAGCTAAGTAAAATGGCCAATTTCTTCCTTAAATTACAGTGATCCATAAGGACCTATGTCAACCTTTTAGTACCATGCCTTTGCGTCAGAGGAAATTGCCAAGCAGTGTTACCAATTTCATATGGCTTTAAGAACATGGTACAGAGTATCACACCTCCAAATCAAACCACTACACAAAGTATCAGAGACTACAGTCTGTGGTGGGTTCCCAAAGCAACCAGGATTTACGTAAGCGCTGATGCTTTCGCTCAGGAGTTCATCTAGCAAAGAGCTGTCATTGAAAACTCAGTAACCAGTATAAGATGTCTACAGTTACAAGGCTTGTATGACAGAGGGGGTCACTGAATGCTTAAGTTTTAAATTTTATAATCTTCCCCCCCCCCAAAAAGGGCAAATTTATAGTAAAGCTATATAATATTATTACACTCCAGCATAATTGTATACTTTTATTCCTAAGGGGGATTACAAGAGGAAAGCTGTAGAAAAAAAAATCTATATAAATGAGAAACAAAACACATAGCATAAAATGTTTCCTAATTTGATTAATTATATAGTTTGTAAAAAGAAATAAACCTTCTGGTTGATCACAGCACTTTGACTCACAATTTATGCAATCTGAATTTGCTTCAGATACCAAATCTACTCAACAACTTCTCTAAAGAGCTTCAAAACACAAACCGAACAGTCTGGGAATACACCTCCCCTTCCAGTCCCCACCTTTCTCACAGAGCTTTGCATTTAATTCTTCTCTGGGATGTTGTGTCCATCTGCCTACATGAATCCACTCTACTGTTGGCACTGGGCAAAGAGTGAGTACAAAGTTTCATTCTCTGCTATTAACAAATGCTATCTTATTACCAACTTAAAAAATATTTACAAAAAAAAAAAAAAGCAAATGGTGAATTGCAATTGCTACACATAGTCTTACAAATAATAGAGCTAAAATTCTATTGTTGTTGCACAAATGCGAATTACGCTGTAAACCCAAAAATATTTCATTACGCTTTTTATTCTCAATAATTCCATGGAAACTTGATCCTATAATCCTTACAGTTTCCCTTACTCAGCTTCCAAAGACCACTGCTTGACTAGAAACTTGTAAATCATAAAGGCTTATGAATAAACTCTAAATCTGGATTTTAACATGCTTTTGGTCTGTCAAGACATAATGGCAAAATAAATGCCAGAAGAAAACATAAGAAAGTGATAGCAGCATCGAGTATTTAAATCAATAGAACCAATAAAAAATGCTCAGTTTGGCAAATGAGGAAACTGAGACCCACATGTCTAATAAGATTATATTTTCCTTCCCTGTCTTGTTAAAACTAAAATCAAAGATTATAGCACAAAGGCAAACAAACCTACCCACATGAAGACAGAATCAGAGTCTTAAGTTTCAGTTAAGAAAAATAGTACAGCAACTTCATATTGAGAACAATTGGACACTGTTAACTAGCTGATAAAAAGTAGTCTAATAAAATACAGAAGATCATATACTAAGAAGTTTCTTTACCTAGCCATTCCCAGGCTGGAAAAGTTGGAAGGAACTACCAGAACATCAAGCCTGGAAAAGGGGTGGGTACCCAGTGTGGTGTAAGCAGCTGAGAGGCACTGAGGAATTAGCTGAAGCAAATGTTCTTCACAGTATTCCGTAAGGCAACAGGGAGTAAAGACTCTGTAAGGAATGACTGCCTGCAACCTGGCAGCAGGATTCTGGAAACGGCAGGGATATTCCACATGTCCACAGATTTCTTCGTGCCATCTGCCAATAGCAAAATTAAAAAAGAAAAAAAAAAGAAATAATAGTTTAATGTGATACCAGAAATGGGCAGAACTGTGTAAACTGAGACAGATATTCTCTAAACATCAGAATGACAGTTAGTTCACATTAACCCAGCTCACTTGTATTCTCACACTGTTCACACATGTGCAGTACTGTGAAAACACTCATTACTACATGTCTGAGTAGAACTGATACAGTTACTCATATCTAAAAAGCCTAATCAAACCTTGTTTTTATAACAGAAATGCATTAAAAGAATAAGTGCTCAAGATGTACATAAAGAAAACTAATTATACAAAAATATTCAGAGAATTCATATTCAAACTTGACTACAAAAATAAAATTCTATATATTATTAAAAAAGTAAGTGTAATTAGAATGAAATTCACAGGGGGCCTTTTTCTGTTATTAAAATTCTCCAGGAACTTTTACTGGGTTTTTGTTTCTTTGTTTGTAATTAAAAAACAAGAGTAGATATCAGTTCAGGTCACTATAGACATTTGAAAATGCTTACATGCTTTATTTTTCCTTAGGATCAAGCTTAATTTACATTACTTTTACAGTACATTCAGAGCCGTAGCTGGAAGAAAGGAGGGGTAAATCAAATCCTTCCTAAATACTGAGTCATATACCTTCACAATAATTTATCTGCCCGAACAGACTCAGCAGAAATCAGTTTCATGTTTTCACCTGCTAGCCTGACTTCTCTACAGTGCAGAGCCTCTCCTTGGGTTGAGGTTTTAACTTAAGGAAGCTGACTCTATGTCTGAACGGGCAAAGCATTTATTGTTATTGCACCAGCACCACCCAAAGCATTTATATTTGGAAGATCATGCTCCAGGTTAGTGCTGACATACAAAACAAAATAGTAACATGTAGAAAAGGACTACATTTTGGTTAGGTGCCAACACTTTTCACACCTTATGTAACTCCTTCTGTGAAAGAAATGGACTCTATGCTATTTCATTGATTATATATGAAAAAAACGTACACCCATCATTATACAATTTTTTTCCAAGTGTGGCCTAGCCCAGTACATTTCTGCTGTAAAACAATGTCACTTTGTATTTCATTATCTGAGTCGACATTAAGCAAGAACATAAAAGCTAGTACCCTATCTCCAGTAAAAGTTGCCAAGTTCTTAATGACCACAAGGAGATAGGAAACTTATTTAACACTCTAGTTCTATTTACCATTTTCTTTGATACAGCCTCCTTATGCCAAACTCACTGGCATCTGGACATAGATTACACTGGACATTTCAACAACTTTCAGAAATCTTTCCTTTTCCTGCTCCTGAAGAGTTTATCTCCATTATGTTATCTGATACACTACCTTAACATTTGCTTGTTTTTTAATATCCTTTCTAGAAAGGTGTGCTACTGTGCATAATGTTGAGTTGGTTACCTAGTCTTAATGACTAAAATAAGTAACAAGTTTCTGTTGTACTAACTCCCAAAGACTAACTGGAAATAAGTGTAAGAGCAGATTTTTAAGAACAGAGCTTTTTATGTATTAATTAACTTCACAACAACTTTGTAGACTTAGGCTCTCCCTTCTTTGTCTGTGCATAAAAGACACCACACTTTCAGAGGATTTTTTTGTTTTTTCTTTATTGCTGAAACATGTTAGTTCTGTTTCTTCTACTGTCACTAACCCAACTGCTTCATACACACTGTACTGCATGTGCTAATTAACTCATCCAATAGCCATCACACAGACTGACTCATAACAATGATCACCACACTGATTAAATCTTGCATTAACTTTTGCTACAAAAATATTTTGCTTTTTTCAAAAGTTTTACAAAAAAATTTGAAACTTTCATTTATTTCTTCAGTGCTCTGCCAGAATAATATTTTGCACCAAATCAATAAAAATTTCTATTCCTGAACACGCTGTACACTAGAGAGGAATATACAGTGAACACCTACAGTATGAGGCAATCATATAAAAAACATACTACAGTAGAGGAAACTCCCCTCCCCCCATAAAAACCTAATAGAAGCTTATCAAACCTATAAACTATTTTAGAGCTTGAATATGCATGTCTTACTGGTCTTAGGTAAAATATAAGAATTCTTATTCTCAAGATTTATTACAATTTTCAGTTTACAAATTTGCCATGCTGCAAGCCATCAGAATAATTTAAAATTCCAATAAGAAATCCCTATTAGGTCCTCAAATTCCAAATTCTCTCTAGCTTTATCAAATGGTAAAGATCTCTACTGTCTTTATATTAACACAGCATAAGCCCAAACTGTCAATTTAAAAGTGAAGTATTGTTTTGGTTAAGTTTCTAAGTGCGTAACAGCAAAAATACTTATGGCCTGACTAAGCTGATCCCTTTTCTACAGCAAAATAACATTTTCTGTTGACATGGGAAGAGTAGTGGATATTGTTTGCCTGGACTTCTGCAGAACATTCACCACAGTTCCCACAGCCTTCTGGACAGACTGGTGAGATGCAGACTGGATGGATGGTTTGTAAGATGTGTGGGAACTTGACTCACAGGCTGCACTCAAGAGGACAATAATCAGTGGTTTACACTCAGGCTGGCAGCCTGTCACGAGTCCCCCAGGGATCAATGCTGGTCCCATGCTGTTCAGCATCTTCACAAACGTCCTGGATGACAGGATTGAAAACACCCACTCTGGGTTGATGATGACACCAAACTGCGTGGTGAGGTGAGCATATCAGAAGGGAGAGCGTTTTACAGAGAGACCTGGACAGGCTGGAAGACTGGGCTAGCAAGAATGGTGTGAAGCTCAACAGAGACACGTGCAAAGTCCTGCACCTGGGATAACACAACCAAAGAGTCCGGCACAGGATAGGACCTGAGTGTCTGGGAGCTGCCTTCTTGAAAGGGACCCAGGGTTTCTGGTGGACAACAAGCTGAACATGATTCTACAGAGCACTGCAGCAAAAATGAAGGCGAATCGGATCCTCAGCTGCACCCACAGGGGCATTACTAGCAGAGACATGATCACTGCACTCTGTTCAGTGCTCGTCAGGCTGCATCTGGAGTACTGCATCCAGTTCTGGTCCCCACATTTTGAGAAAGACACAGACACCAGAGGGTCCAAAGGAGAGCAAATAAAATGAAAAAAGAGCTGAAGAACCTGCTTGTGAGAAAAGACAGGAGGAGCTAGGCTTTTTCTGAGGAGAGGAGCAGGGAAGGGAAAGCTGTTGCAGTATTCCAGTACTTAAAAGGCATCTACAAAGGGCACAGAGAGTCTCCCTTCACAAGGAGAAGACAAGGGGAAATGAGTCCTAGATAACCTCATCTAAGCTCCCCTTCCCATTAAACATTGAACCAGATGATCTTTCAAAGTGCCTTCCAACTTGGGCTGTTGGAATTCTGTGATTCTATGACTCTATGAATTTCAAAAGTTGAGAGTAATATGTGAGTAAATCAAGTGCCATGTCTGAGACTTGTGCTAACTATGAATACACATGCAAACAAGTGTTACTTCTCCAGAGAATTTTTAGCTTCAAATGTCACTTGCAGACCTATATAGTATTGTTCTGTTCATCCATTACTCTGTAATAATTTAAACTTGATGAGCAGTTTTGACTAGATTAGAAAGAGGAACAGATGTATCCAAAAGACAGCCGAGTAACCACTCCATATATCAGACGACAGGGTATTTTTTCATTGAAAAGAATCATTGGCCCAACTTTTAAAACACAGCAACACGTCTTTCATGTAGCCAGTCACATCACCCCAGGAAAGCCACTGCACAGGCCAGCTTCAGCTCTGGGATGGGACTGGACAGGAATGAAAAACATGAATGAGTAGATAATATTGTGAGGAGCGCTGGGTATCGAAAGAGCCTGAGTCTGGTAACATGACAGACCTTACAGCCAGGCACTGTAAGAAACAAGGGAGGATGTGTTATTGCTGCAGAAGGATATTACAAGGTACAGGATGTAGAATACAAATCCAGAGGACACTGGGATTTTTTAACCTTGTTGCTCACTAACCAGCTTGTTTTCACATATAAAGAACCACACCCTTGCCCATGAAATAATGCCTTTGGAATTATTTTCCTGTCAAGATTTTTCTGTTCAGATTAAACAAGTTCTGTTTGGATTCCTGTACAGACTCATTTTCACACTCCAGAAAGTAAATGAAAATGCTACCCATGTACCTCCTTTTTCAACAGTGCTCTGAAAACTAACCTGAAATCAGCTTGTGAAGATGGCAGGGAAAACTTAGTGTTTGTCTGGATAGCAGCGGTGAAGCCCTGCTGTTTAACTTCCTGCCAGCACCCCACAGCAATAGTGAAGGTGGATGCTGGCATTGGCATAGTCACATAGTAGTACCAGCTCATGATACCTGTAAATAAACAGAACATTCGTACAGACTCATCAGTAACAGCACACACTCAGAACTTATCATTTTTATGTACGTTAGATTTTGGGCCAAACCTCCCACCTTACCTCCTGGTATTTTTGTTGAGGAAAGAAAAATAATTTCATTGACACATAAAAGCAGTCATGTGTAACCACCATGGATTCAGTATTTTTCGTTTACACATGCAACTTTCTTCAATCTGCTGCTGTTTTTATCCGTAAAGAAATCATCCATAAGTGGGATGTGATTAATGCAGCTTAACAGGATCGTACTGTCACTGCCTAAGAACTGAATCAGATATGAAACCTAATAGCAACTTCAGGTCCACATATAGAGAAAAATTAAATTTTAAGTCTTTCAACCCTGGATCAACAACCTTATGGTTTTATCCTGACTGCATTATCTCACATATAAAATCTTTTCTTTGTGTTCTGGACCATACCAAGCTGATAGGCAAGTTCTAACAAACAACACCAGTGCTTGTGAATTCAACCTGGAAATCTGAGATACATGATGTGGCAATGAGGCAGTGAGAAATCAAAGCTTAGAAACAGGCGGGATATTGCCTAAATCAGTGATTTGGTCATGATAATCCAGGAGCTGCTAAAACATGTTTACAGAGTGTATTAGAAGGTTAAAAGATGGTAAGTCTTATCATTATGGGAATACAGTGCTGGAAGACAAGTAGTACAGTACAGGATGACAGTACCTATGAACACATTTGGATAAGCTGGAGACGTTTATGCTGGACAGCATACTTTTCATTAATCTAAATGTTGCTTTGGTTTATCCATTTGCCTATTGAAAAGAATATAGCTTCAGAATTACATTCAAGTACTTATTTATGGCCACAAATACAGCTACTACACCATTCTAATAGCTTAATCACTCTCGGAAAAAGCCTAGCATGAAATTACAACCTGCTGAATCATGTGCAAATAACTGTAGCTGTGGCAACTGTGGACACATACAAACTTTGGTTATTTTAAGAGAACATGTACTTGTTCTTTTGCAATAGTATTATGACCACAGCTATGGAAGACTATCAAAAGGAAAAAAAAGAGGAAAAAAAAAAAACCAAACCAACAATAGAGTGGAGGCCACAAGGCATAGAGGAAAGGAAATAAACAACTGCAGCAAAGCATCTGTGGGTTTCCTACCTTAATGCCCACAGAAGATCAAGCTGTACAAAGGAAGGACAAGCAAAAACAAAGCCTCAACAAATTTTCCACCTACTATTTAGTACGACAAAACAATAGTGTTTGTGAAGTCTTCTGAGATGAAGATAAAGCCTCTGCCTTTTACACTAGCAACCACTTACACTCTTTCACTCCATTCTACTTTTGGCAACATTCACCACTACCTTCAAAAACCTTTTGTCTGTATTGTTCGTCAGGTGAACATATATTACTCCTGTAATTTTCCTAACCTCCTGTGACTATGTGAGCACAAGGAACTTATTCACTCAAAGCACATTAGGAACAAGGTGGATAATAACTATTTTTCAAATTCCACCTCCTCTCTCTTTTTTGTTTTTTTTTTTTCAATGAACTTACCAAAGCTACAAATGAGCTAAGGCAAATAAATGACACCTGGAGAGAAAGAAGTCACCCAGGAGAACAACAAGTTATTATTTTGAAATACCAGACTCCTGATGTGGAGAGTTTTATTGACACACTGTCATTAATACCAGCTTTCCCATTGACTTAAGTTTGCACACAAGTAGGCCCACAGGTAGGCTACAGTATTGTACTTTATGTGGAATCTGTTACAAAGCATTACAGAATGTTTTATGCAGGTATGCTAACTGTAAAACCTTAAGAGCTGAGTAACAGCTAAAGAGGAATAAAAAATCTGAGGAATCTTAATGGAAAAATTAACGTGTTTGCAACTGAGTTCTGAAACAAGCATGAATGTCAAAAGGCAGTCACAGGAAACTGCTCTAGATGGCAGAAGATGCAAAGGAGAAAGCTGTCACAACAGTGAGGAGACTGGCTACAGGGAAAGTGTGTCTGTGGGCCCGTAGTGTGCAAACAAAGGGAACAGAGAGGATTATGATGAGAAACAAGTTCAGCAAAACAGGCTAGAGCAAGCAAGACCATAGAGGTTTCTTATAAAACATAGGTACATTGAATAGAATGTCAAAATGAATGGGGAATCAGTTTAACAGTCCAGAGAAAAGAACAGCTTGTACTGTACTCACAAATTACAGGTATTAGCAATGAATATATGCTATTTGGAGCTGCAGCAAACCCTGCAAAAGGGTGAAGGTACCAAAGTCAGTTAGCTTTTCTTGCTATGTTTTCAGATTTCTCTAAATTTGGATTTCCTGAAGAAAAGCAAAGCAACTAACATACAGATCCTTGTCTTGTTTCCATGCCCCTTGTATTTTGCAGATACTATAGAAAGCATGTGAACTCTGGATACTCCCAGAACAAAATCCAAGATTTATACTGTCTTTACACACCTAACTGGAGCTCAATCTATCTTCTGTGTTCATACTCTTGAACTGTAAAGGGTGACTATATAGTTATACCACAGTTGGTTTGCCTTGAACAGCAGAAATCACATGCTCTGGCATGACAGCTGAGTTCTCTCTATAGTGCATTCACTGACCAACGACTGAAATAGTCTTTATGTTGGCAACAGTTCCCTCCAGCAAGCACCATGCACTACTGTTACAAGAATCTAACCTTCATTTATCTTCTGTCTTTTCCCCTCACTACTGGTAAGACTGTCTTCCAGCCTGCCCTTTTCTCCATAATTTCCCTTCCTTTAACTTTCTTCAGGTCAAGGGGATTTGTTTTGTTTCCCTTTATCTCTAACCTCAGATCTATCCCAGGATACAGACTGGGATTACAAACTCTATGCTACTCCTCGAGTCCCCTGGCTGCCCTCTGGTTTCCAAAGGGCAGCCTTGGAGACAGCACCACCTCCAGGGTAAGAGAAAACAGTGCAGCTGAAAGGGAAGATGGCTTGATTTACCAAAACAAGTATTTCATACCACAAAAACACTTTCAGACTAAGCAAGGAAACGCTGGGAAGAACAAGAGACTAAGCTGGGGCTTGCCCATGGAATAAACAGAGGGAAAGTGCACTGGTCGTTTTATTTGTAGTGTTAATACCCTCTCGCTACAGACAATTTAAAAGCAACTTGATTCCTACACATGAATTCTTTTAGGCAATTATACTACTTTGAAACATTTACTCTGCAAGTAATTTTGAAATATTTTTAAGGTTTTTTTTTTTTTTCAGTTCTGCAAATCAAATCTATCATGTCATAACTGAACAAACTGTGCAACAACAATCACCTACTCTATGAGCTGTGAGTGGAAAACTTTCCATGCAAAAATTAGAACTACTTTTAACAAGGGTAGGAAATAATAATCTATTTATAATTGTGCAAAAGAACAATTTGAAGGCCATTTATTTCTTCTACTTGAAATAATAATGATGAATGATGTAATTACTCCCTAGAATTTTTAATTCATTTAGCTATTTTTGAGAGCATTAAAATTGTTCCGAGTCTTGTGAAGTCCTTTATAACTGAAGAAACATGTACCACTCAGTACTGATAATGCCAAATGCAAGAACATTAAGAGTATTCTTACTTACGTATATTTTCTCTCAAACAGTTTGCACTAACACAAATATAAACAGCACAAAATACATACAATGTCCATGATTTACTAAAAAAAAAAAAAACCCACAAAACTCAGCTACCTCTAGGGAAAAAAGAGAGATAGTCCCACACAGCATTTGATATACGAAGTAAGGAGCTAGTGCTAATACATAAAACTGCAGCTAAATAAGTAATTATGCCAAAACTGCCCTTTGGTTGGAGTACCAGGAGTAAGAGCCCTCCAGCTTTCCAAAACTCTCTGTAACTTGTAGGAATCTTTGATCTCGTCTGCAAGCCAGAATTTCCCACAGAGCACATTCATGCCAGGGCATCAGTTCAGCACTGGCTCTGAAGGATGAGTAGTGCTGACCCGGAAGGATGAGTAGCATGGGATGAGCTGTAAACTCCCATTCTGTAGCTCCTGATACATGCTGGAGATCAATCAACCCAAGTACTGGACTCTTGTTTTGCCTTGTGAAAAGCAAGAGGAGAGCAAACACACAAAAGCAACTACTGTTGCTGCTAGCTATATAGCAATACCAGTGCCTTCTCCAACATTATATTTCCTCTCAATAATAGAATACACCTTCCCATTGGTATCAGAGATGGCAAAACAAAATCATGGGCTACATAATGACCACACAAAGAGCAAGCCAGTCAATTGCACACTTCATGGCTGGGTATCTACTTCTTGAACACGAATTAAATATAAAGGTACTTGTGACCAAATATATTTGCACATTCTATGTGTTACAGCAATATGCTGAAGGGAAGTAAAACTGTTAAGTGCTGAAAAATAAATCCATTGGTTGAATGGTTCACACTACACACACAGAGTGATCCCTGTAAAGCTTTCTTCCAAAAGGCATTGCCAATTGCATTTTTCTAACAATTTTTTTATTTTCTCTAAGTACTCCATAAAGAATGATTGGTATTTTTGCACACTTTTAAGTCATACTTGAATAGTTACAATATGTACTTGAGTAAGTGAAGTATCAGTATTTTCAAACAAATGTGGCCTCACTTTATTTCAAATGACAGGATGAGCCATAGTTTAGTAAGAGGCAGAATGCAGAAACGGAGCGTACAGAAGAAAGTCCACTGTTACCAAAATCTGCAAATAAAAGTGGCAAAATGAGGAGTTTGTGCGTGTTACTAGTCTACCTAATACTCTGGATTACAGCATGTGGCTCTAGAGATGTAGGTCTGTGAAGCAGGATGCAGAGCTCTGTTTAAAAGAATGAAGGTATCATCCTTGCTTGGTGTTCTTTTACTGTCTGTTTGCACACTTGTGACGATGTTTAAAGGAAAAAATATTCAGATAACTTGTAATTCTATTCAGAATAAATTCATCCACAACTGCTTGCCAAAACAGCAACTGCATTTTAAGAATACATTTTTGTGTTCTGCCTGTTATGTAGAATCTCATAACTATGCAGTACAGCAGTAGCATAGTGTATATAAATAATTTGTCAAAGAAAAGTTATTTTAATTGAAGCCACCCTGAAAGACTTTTAGGTATGTTTTACAAATATAAAGACAAAATTTTAAGCTGGACAGATTTCATATGCCCTGCATAACTGCCTAACAGCACAGTCTATGCAGGACAGGTTAACATTACAGATCAATTTTAACTTTTTAACTCTTCAGGTTTTCTTAATTAATGAATTTGTATTTCTAAATTCATTAACAATTTACCCAATGCTTCAGATTAGCACCTGAGCATTGGGTTTGTCTGGTTCTTATAATATTTCTTACAATATTATTCTTTCCCCTTCTTTCCTCTGTATCTGTTTTGCAAATTTTTACACTTCCAAACAACTCTCAACACTGATTTGTTATTTCCAACTGTATGTAAGCACCAAGATAATGAAGGCCTCATCCGTGATTAAGCCTTTGAGAGCTATTGGAGCAAAATGCCTACTACCTTTAAAGAAACCCAGCAACTTTGCATCATGACATCAAAAGTAGCCTAAGTAATTGTGTGTGCCCCACATAGTCCATAAGCAGAATCTTCCACACTCTTGGGAATTCCATCATGAGGAAAGGTAGAAGGACAGAAATGCACTAGGTGCTTCTCTTCAGTTAAGTTCAGCACATAACTTTGACATTGTCACATGGCTCCTTAAGGAGCCAGCTTTAACGCTTCATTTGGTTCTTCCCAGTTCACACTTTCCACTCAGCACTTCAACAGCACAGTGAAACTAAAATGAGTCATTTCCTCCCTACTAGTCTTTCCATTAAAGACTTCTTACAGTATTTCTTGCTTTCACATTTCATAGGAAAGGAAATATACTGGGTTAGACTTTGGAATTAAAAAAACCCAAACAAAACAAAAAAACACCAAACACAAAAAATACACCTAAACCAAACAAGGCTTTAAGCTGACATGTGAATTACCAACATAAAGTAATCCACTGCAACAACTACAAGGATTTAAATAAAAGCCCCTTCTGTTCTCTGTGGGTGACAAGGCTGACTTTAGGGAACTAAGCCTCAGTGCTATCATTGACAGGGTACTCTGATTTAATTGCCAACACTCCATCAACAGGATTTTTTGAACGATTTTTCCCACAACTAGTTATCTTATTTTCTTTATTCAAATTAAAAATTTATAATAGGTGTTTTAAACTAGACTGACAAAACAATGTTAATACGGAAATAATTATTTTGCAATACAGTATTTTCAAATAGTTAGTTGGTCTAAGAGTATCAGTTTTAACTGACCTATGACAATTTTTATTGCCTGAAGTTCTTCCAAGGTTTCTATTTCTAGAAATTCACATAAGCATTCTTCTTGCTCTTAATATTTCATACCACATAGCCACCACTGAGGGACAGACAAGCAACAACTCTTTAGAAAGGTGTAAGTGTGGATTAAATTAATCAAATGATGATGGCAGAGCTGTTCTGATCTGAAGTCAACAGCACTCTTGCTTTCTTGGTGTGAGACAGGAAAGTAGCATTATCCAAGTGAGATGAGTACTCATCATGGCAGCTTTCCATATTTCAACAGCAGAAACAAGGCTTGAAACAGGCTTCACATATGGCCAAAAATAATCAGATCATTCCATGCAAATGGATTAACTGATGGTTCTCAAATCAAGAAGATTTTTTTTCCCCTCAAGAATAAATTTGAAGGGGAACATAAGAGGTTTTTCTCCCCATAAACACCTAATTCTAACTGTTTTCTATATGCTACTCATCAGAACTATTTATACTAGAAAATACTGACCCAGTTTGACAGATTATCTCAAAACTATGGAAGCAAGACATACTTTGTATTATCTGTAGAACTGCCTCAAAAACTTTCTTATTTGTGAAGACAGAGGTTTAGAGAATAAACAACACCGAAGAAAAATATTTGCTTGCTTACTGCTGCACAATGTATTATCTACCAATGCCAAAAACCCCAAAGACCAGATTTTCAGGCGACTGACGCGTAATTCTTCATCTATTCCATATACCTCAGGAAACAGACATGACACAATGACCGCTTCTAATCACTGGCATGTTGATCTATACTTTGACTGGAGAACTAAAACTGAAAGTTAACGATTTACCAAGGCCTAAAGTTGTCAAGAGCCTGATAAGGTACCTCATCTATGAAACGTTCAACTGTAGAGTGATTAAATCCGAGTGAAGTTTAGGTTTGGAAAAAGTAAAGGAATAAAGCCACATAAAAAAGTAAGTAGAAGTAACACAGTGAAATGTAGATGCCTTGAATTCTTATTGCTAACCTGAGGCCTTGGTGTCCTGGGTTTAGCAGTAGCAGTCATTTTTCTCTTTCTTAGTAGCTGGTGCAGTGCTGTGTTTTGACTTTCGGGCTGGGAACAGAGCTGATAACAACAATGTTTTGGTTTGGCCAAGGACTTTGTGAGCCTCATGCTCTGCCAGGGAGGAGGGGAAGCTGGGAGGAAGCAGAGACAGGACACCTGACCCAAACTGACCAAAGAAGTATTCCATACCACAGCACGTCATGCCCAGGATGTAACTGGGAGAGTTACCAGGAAGGGCTAGTGAACTGCAGGGTTGGAGGAGGCATCGGTCGGTGGTTGGTCAAGGTTGGGGGAGCGAGTTATCAGTCGCCTGGTGATGAGGTGTTGTATTCTATTCTCTTCCCTTGTTATTTCCTTTATCATTACTATTATTGGTGGCAGCAGTAGTGATTTGTGTTATACCTTAGTTACTAAACTGTTCTTATCTCAACCCATGGGAGTTGCATTCTTTTCGGTTCTCCTCTCCCTCCCTCCAGGAGTAGGGGGAGGGCAAGAAGGGGTGGGGAGTCAGTGAAAAGCTGTCTGGCTGGGTTTAAACCACGGCACCTTGGGCAGGTAACTTTCCATAGAATGACATGGAGATTACAGATACGCAATCAGACAAGTAGGTGCTTTTCAGGTTAGGAATTTCATTATTTCAACTATTACATATCTACTAAGCTATAATTATAAAATCATTGAAAATAATTTGCTGTAGAATGTATATCTCACCTTCTTGAAGCTGGACTGGCTCTGCTGAGTTTTCACCACTCATTAACACAACAAAGTCTGCAGCTGTTCGGACTGAGGCTTGCCACGTTGACAAGGCAACAGGTGGCTCTTGGCATGGGAAAAGAGCTCTGTTGTTTATTGGCGATCCCATCGTATACACACACGGCCTAGATGGAAAGAAAAGACATTGAAACTGGAGTTACAGTAAGAAAGACTGAATTAATTTTTCTATCTAGAATCAAACCTACTGTTGTACTGAGGTGTGTATTTTTAACCTCAGCTCTGTAGGTTTCAAACCTGTATGACATGAATCAATCAACATACAATTTAAAGTCACTTAAGACAGGATGAAGAAAAGCAAGACTACCACAACAATTTTTACATAAACTAGAAAAGAGTAACTACAGTCTTTCCCCTCACCTGCTTATGCATGAGCCTTCTAGCCTTACATAATGGCCTTCAGCTGAATCCGAAGGCCAAAGAAGGCTTCTGAGTATCTTCTGAGGATGCGCCTTTGCAAGGCTTCATTGACGCCTTTGACACCTCCCTGTTGTTATCACAGTAGTGCTTTCATGATCATTAATCCCATCTCTCCATACAATCTGGAGGCTCATGCAAACTGTGAGCAATAGGTCTAGCCTTGCGCCTTCTTTAGTCCGAGCCTAAATAAATCCTGACTATTTTACATTTCTTCTTGCACTAAAGTAATGCATGCTAGCTCACCTGACTTTCAGAACTTCAACCACAGGGCATATAATGAGAAGCAAGTATTTCTTCCCTATCAGCCTCAGTCTCCTTCTTGCTTTTCATGTAGCAATCTTCCTTGTAGTATTATTCTTTTTGCAGTTTCTCTAACCCTCTCCTAGGCATCCTCTCCATCTACTGCCCCTTTCAAATTTCAGCTGCAGTGTTTCATGCCAGGCAATTTCTTACTAGCAGCTTAGCCACAGCTGGGAAGGTAACAAGGCCTTCACTAACTCCTACCTTGCTATTGTTGGTGTTCAGATATAATACTACTACTTCTTTTGTTGCATTTTGCAGTTGTATCTAAATTCCTAGTACTAAAAAAGTTAGGTTTTCAAATATAAATTATATAAATTAAAAATAATATAAACATAACATAGTAAGTTTATATAATTTATGAATTATATAAACTAAAAACAGTCAGTAGGTTTCTCCAGATAAATAAAGAAAATCTTGAAAGCATCACTTCACTGCCCTGAGTTTTTTAAAATCTATGATATTTAAATCATCTGGAAGCATAACAAATTATTTTGTAAATGCTTGAGGCTAAAAGTATTTTGATCAGTATCTTTCGTAACTCAAGTGTAAATATCATCAAAACACTTTGGAAAACAGAAGACAGATTTTTAGGGCAAAACCTATTTTGCAATGGCTAAGATCTGAGTATCTCCTTTACTCGCATCCACACAGCTCCTCCATTCAAATTATTCCCAGAGGAAGTAACTTGGGAGATACTGATGGCCACACATGAAAAATATTCTGAAGCTATTTTTGCAATCTTGTCAAAAGTGCTATCTATCTATGGTATTGAATCCAGAGCTGTCCATGGCACAGTCAAGTTACAGTGGCTTAACTAATGCAGGCCAGCTTGATCTTTCAGTGAAACTGCAGTTTAAGTAGGCCTATGCACAACCAGAAAATGAAATTAATCTGGCTCCCCCTCCCATGTGTCAGAGTCAATAGAGTAGGACGTAGATATCCAGTAAACCTCAAAAGATACCTGTAGTTATCTTGTGTCTTTTGAGAAAGTGGTTATCTTTTACTCAGTAAAACACAATGCACAGCTAAATGGGAAAGACCACTAATGTGTTTAAATCTTTAATTAGCTTTAACTCTTTGGAATTAATCTACTAAAACTGAATCTGTAACCAACTCTGATAATACATAAAATACCTGGATTTCCTTCTCAAAAAAGGAATGGTGAGTTCATAAGGAAAAGGAAGAGCTTGCTTTTTTACCTCCTACGAGATTCTGCTTTTTCCTTGTAATGCTAGCTAAGAGATACTGGACATGCTATTTATCCTAAACCCTATGTTTACCGGGAGGGGACGGGGAGGAAAGGATGGCTCCTCATTCATGAAAATTTAATTAAATACACAAGTATAAAAAGAGATCCCAGTAGTGATCCTAGGAATGACGGCAAAGGTGGGATTAATGGCTACTGATATATGTATTTTACTAATGATTTACCATGCATTTGTGAAGGTAGTTTTGCTGGCTGAAGGTGCTTTTGCTGGCTGCCATTGATAAAACCCAGTCTTGAGAGCATTACAGGGGATTTTCATATCCTAAGGAAAATGTCACAATGACTGGGAAAAAGGGCTAGCAGAACAGCATGAAGCATAATGTTACAATGCTGTGTCAAATACAGTACAAACATAACATGGAACAGACGCTACCAAGACCACGAATATTATCTTGTTCTCAGAGAACATTTTTTACCTGCAGACCATAAAGTATTTTACAAATAACGTCAACACCATTTCGCAGATGGGTGAAATGTAAAACAGTGAAAAGATTTGCTTAGTGCTAGTGTTCAAGCTGTGCCTTCAGGCTTAGTTTCAAGCCACCCAGTCCAACAGCTTTCACACTGGACTAAGAAGCATCTCATTATAAGAAATAATTACATAAGCATCTTTTTTATCCTAAAAAATCTTCATTCTAAAATACATACACAGGCAGGTCACAAGTTTCTACAATTAAGGCCCAAGTAGAAAGGGAGTTAGAAAAGTGGAGAAAGATTGATCAAGCACATAATTTTTTTTTCAAAACAGCCTCCTTTCCACTGCACACGTGTCTTAACATTTTTGTCCATGTAGGCTTACTAACTTCATTATATCAAATCAAAATGTACTCAAATATGTCAAAGTCTGCAAAGAAGATAGTAATCGAACATGTAAATTCTAAATTTCAAGAGGAAACTATCAGAACAACAAATTACATCAGCTTTTACTTAGGTATTTGTATATTCATAGTGAGACCACCTGGAAGCTTGACCGGCAGCAGGCCATCAACTCATTATTTTTTTTCTTCCATCTTTTTGTCCTGCGTTCAGCAGTAGAAGTCATTTTTCTCCTTCTTAGTAGCTGCTACAGTGCTGTGTTTTTGACTTTCAGTGTGGGAACAACACTGATAACACCGATGGTTTTAGTTGTTGCCAAGTAATGATTACTCTGACCAAGGACTTTCTGAGTCTCATGCTCTGCCAAGGAGAAGGGGAAGCTGGGAGAAAGTAGAGACAGGACACCTGACCCAAACTAGCCAAAGAGGTATTCCATACCACAGCACGTCATGCCCAGTATATAAACTGCGTGGAGTTACCTGAAGGGTGAGATCGCTGCTCAGGCTGGGCTGGGTATCAGTCGGTGGGTGGTGAGCAGTTGTATTATCTCCCCTTGTTATTTCCCTTATCATTATTATCATTGGTGGCAGCAGCAGTGATTTGTGTTATACCTTAGTTACTAAACTGTTCTTATCTCAACCCATGGGAGTTACATTCCTTCGATTCTCCTCCCCATCCCTCTGGGAGTAGGGGGAGGAAACAGGGGAGCAAGCAAGCGGCTGTGTGGTTCTGAGTTACCAGCTGGGCTTAAACCACTACAGTTCTTTGTGGCACCCAATGTGGGGCACGAAGGGTTGAGATAACAACAGATCTGACCAGAGTGTTTCTAATCACCTTTGTGATAAGCATTTATTGTTTCAGATTAATAGTCACTCGTCACAATGCTGATCTATTGTCTCTCAAAGTTGTTGCTCTTGATGTCACAGTTTCAGCATGTCATACCTCACTTACAGCCAGTATTTTCTGGTTTAGTGTTTATTGGCTGGGGGGCTTGGGCTAAGGTTCTTGTTTTGCTGTACTTTATGGTAATGACTTGTAATATGATAGACTCATTGAACATGAAACTGATCTGGCTTGCATTCCCAGTGTGGTCATCACCTCTATAATTTGGGAGGTATATAATGGAAGTGTTAAGCAATTACACATCTTTTTTCCCCTCCTCGAGTGGTCAGCCTATGAAGCAGACATTCCCTTACATTCCCAGCTCCCCCACCGGACTATTTACAGCATCATTTGAGAGTTTTTTTGAATGGCCTTGGGTACCCTTGAGACCTGCCTGCTGATTGTGATGGGCATCACCATGTTGGTACACATACAGAGTGTGTTTTACCCATGACCATTTCATCTGATCTTGAAAGTTAAGAGTCGGGTTTGGGTCTTGTCTAGGGTTAGACGATGATATAGGAGGACCAAGAGATTTTCCCTGAGGCTGGACAGTCATGAGTGGCAGGGTGTGGGGGATTGTACGGGCAAGTATCTAGGCCAGTGAGCCCCTCCAGTATTTTGGGACTTCGCCACTGAACAAGTGCAAAATCTGGAAAAATTAGCAAAACACTTAAATGAGGTGTGTTGTCATCCTGGTCATACCAGAGATGGACAAATCATGGCAATGTGCTGGGGCTTGGCCTATGCTTACAGAGAGCCTTGTTCAACACTATCCAGTACCTTCAAAGTGAACAAAATGTCTCTGGATCTGGTGGCAAAGCAACAGACAGTGCAGCTACTCCAACTCCAAATAAAGCAGATAAACCAATCCTAGTGACAAGTACAGCAGCTATGCTGACTCTGACTACAACAGACAATACAGCTCCAAACACAGCAACTACACCAACTCCAGCGACAAGTACAGCAGCTACTCAAGCCCCGACAGCAAGACAGCGCAGATACTGGTGCTACTCAACACCCAAGCACAGCAGCTGCACCAACCCTGACAACAGATACTGCAGACACTCCAAACATGGTGATAGTCACCACAGCTAAACCAAAGGACCAATTTGTGCCAGTATCCGGTGCCCCTGTATGCAAGGCGAAAAGCAAATAAGAGGCACAAAAGGTAGCCCGTAGAGTGAAGAAAGATGAAAAAGAAAAGTACTTACTACAAGGGACAGCATCTGATCAGGAGATATTATTATGTGAATCAGAGGAAGAGGAAGAAGAGGTGACTTCTCAACCCCAGACCTCAACCGCGCTATGAAGTATGCAAAAAGATTTTGCCCATCAACCAGGGGAGCACATCATCACCTAGTTGCTCTGATGCTGGGACAATGGGGCCGAAGGTCACAAACTAGAAGGTAGGGAAGC